CTTTACCTGTCCATTGGTGGATGCTAGTCTTCGCCTGGAGACTGCCAGCCCAGGTGGTAACCTCCAAGACATACTGACTACCTGGGAAGAGGTTGCCAAAACTGTAAGACAGGATGCCAGGGGACACTGAGACGTTGCATGCCAGAGTCCAGGATTCCAGGTGGTAGAGGAGAAGTTGGTAGCTGTCTTGATCCCCAGGGGCATCGCTCCATGAGGCTTCCAGGCTGGCCGGGCTTCCAGAGCTATGCAGTTGTAGTCCACCGACAATTGACGGGGCTGTGCCAAATGTCAAAAGAAGTACCAAGGTCTGTACAAAGGGCTCACCATCCTGGGAGTTCTCCCCTTTGGTTTCCCTGTGCCACCCTCCTCCCCCGCCAGCCCTCTAGAGCAGTCGCCTCCTGCCCCAACCCCTAGTAAGGCCATACTCCCTCAGCCTGCAGACCTCATACCAGTTCGGGCAGTGAGGGTAACCGTGACATTCTGCCAACAGGGTCTTAGGACAGTTAATTCCAGCTGGTAGCGACTCCCCGGCACCAGGCCATGGAACACAAAGCTGGTCTCATTTGTGTGAACCTGGAGCTGCTGCCCTTCTGGAGAGCCCAAGGGGTTCAGAGCCCTGAGACTGAGAGCATAGTCAGATCCACCTGGCTCTGCTGACACCCAGCTCAGAAACAGGCTGGCAGGCTGTCCTTGGCTGCTGATGTTCACGCTTAGGGGTGGACCTGGGAGATAAGAGTGTGTGCACTCCATCACCCAGCACCCCTTCTCCCCTGAAAAAGGAAGGCAAGACCAGGGGCCAAGAGGAGGCAGAGTCTAGAAGAGAAATTAGCCCTATGACCCGCCCACTGCCCACCTCCAGAGTCCTCTCCCTCTCTCTAAAGATACCTACCTCCACCCTCCCTGTCTGGGCTCCCTTCCAGGGATGGGCATGCATCTTCCTGTAGGAGGGAGAGGAGTAGGGAAGCAGATGTGAAGAGGTTCCAGGTAGGGGAAGCAGATGTGGAAAGGCCTCTGGAGCCCAGACCTTTGGGAAAGCCCATGGAGTAAGGATCCAGACCAGAGAGAGGATTCCCTGTGTGTCTGACTCCCATCCACGCCCCCCTCCACCCACCCCTGCCACACATGACTGAAGAGACATTTCCTGAAAGCATGCCACTGTGCGGCTGGCAGGCAGTAGCCAGCAGCCTGGAAGGCAGGAGCAATCTGTTCTCCTGGCCTCTGTGCCGGCCTGGGTGGGAAGGGAGCATTTTTCTTCTTCCGTAATGCAGACCAGCTGTAGAGCCCCACAGAGAAGTGGGAAGCCTAGACGTGCCCCAGAGAACAGGCCCACCGACCCCACTCTACCCCATGCCCACCCCACCCCATGCCCACCTTACCTCTGCCAAAAGGCCCCGGAACCAGAGGAGGGCAGCAAACAGAATCAGGGGCCTCATCCTGACGATGTCTACAGAGTTAAAATTGGGAGGCAGAAGGCGGAGCTAGACCGACTCACTCTCCCCTCGCCCTGGTGGCTAGCAGGCGGCAGGCGGGCAAAGGTGGGAAGGGTGGGGTTTCAGGTAGGTGCCAGGTGGCAGAACCTGACCCTAACCCATCCCAGTCTGGGCAAAGCTGAGAGGTGGGAGAGAAGTGGCATCTGGCCCTAAGGGGACGGCAGCTCTCAGGTGGTCCACAAGCCTGCCTCCTTCCTCTGCCTCCTTCTCCCCACCTCCGCTAGATGCCAACAGTCAGTCAGCTCTCCTGGAAGGAAATTGTCCTGTGCTTTGGGGGAAGATGAACGGATTGGTGGCCTTGCCAGTGAGCAGGGCCTGACTCCCCCACACTCAGCCCCTGTCCGTTTGTCCCTTCCCCTGTGCCTTTTAGTGTTTCCTGGGTTGAAGTGGTGAGGCAGGCATGGTGGGGGGGGGATCCTGAGCACATGGGGTGGGTGGCCAGCTGTGTGTTCTAGTACTCAGAGGCACGGAAGCACATCACGTGGATCTAGAGCTCACCCGGGCCCTGGAGCCCAGCTTTGCTCATCCCTCACTGCCCAGATGAGGAAGCTGACATCCAGAGAGTCCAACCTGAGGCCCCATGTGTGTGAGGAAAGAAGCTGGACTTGAACCCGGGACTTCTGACTCCACTGAGCAGAGAAGGCAAAAGGCCTACCCATTCCCAGTTCAAGTCCTCTCTGCTTGGAAGCTTCTGGGAGTGACTGACATTCCTGGGGTTTTTGGTCCCTCTCCCTATTTCTTCTATTTAGATCAGCAGTTACCACCACCCCCGCTGCCCCACCCCACCCCACTCCCCACCCCCGCTGGCTCCCCTACCCTCTGTTGGCCCTCACAGGCACTGCAGAGACCCAGCTGAGGCTTGGCCTACAAGAACTCAGTCAGACTCTGCTGCTGTAGCGACCCAGAGCCAACTGCTCACCTGGAGCAGCTCACCCAGGAGCTCCTGTGCCAACTCAGCCTCTGAGCCCTGGGAAGGAAGCCCAGAACTCAGCAAGCTCGGGAAGGGGTGGGGGTGGGGGTGGGGGTGGAGGAGGGGGGAAGGCTGTGCAGAAAAAACTGACAGGTACAGACTCTGAACACCCAAGCAGACTCCTCCTAGCCTGCTTCAGCAAGGAGCCCAGGCAGGCCTGCATCGGAAACCACCAGCTCTACCTACCCTCTAGCCCCAGCACCAGGGGTGGCTGCCCACCCCACCCCCACCGCGGCTCTGTCCAGCCCCAAACCTCAGAGCCGCCTCCTGGCCTGGATGGGGTCCTGGAAACTTTAGCACTGCAGACTCATCAAATTTTCCAGGCTGTGTGCGTGTATGTGTGTGTGTGTGTGTGTGTGTGTGTGTGTGTGTGTGTGTGTGTGTGTGTGTATGTGCGCACATGGCACTTGTGAAAGAGGCAGGGAAGGGGGCTAGCAACTAGGGAAACCCCGGGGAGGATGTCACAGGCCTCAGTCTGGCCGAGAGGAAACATCCTAACCCGGTCCTCGGCCACCCCATCTCACCTGGGGGCACTTCACTCTGTTTCTTCTAGCAGAGTCCCTGTGAGCAGCCCAGATGGGCGGAGGTGAGACGATAGCATCTTAATTCAGAATCTGAGCCAAGGAGACACAGCAGTGAGTGTGGGTGGATAAAGGGTTGGGGTCCCAAGGTCCCCACAAAAGAGAGGCCTGTGGAGACCGAACATGCTTCATAGCTAGTCCTGTGGACCCAGCCTCGAGGATCTTGGCTGTAGAAAGCCCTCTTACCAGCCTCACCCTGTTAGAGCAGCCTTGGAGATAGGAGACGGGTAAAAAAGCAGCCCCCACCCCGACCCCCATGCCCAGGCCAAGATTCTCTAGTCAGCAAAAATGTACTCCTCCCAGCAGCCACCCCCACAGACAAACCCACATCCTCTGCCTAGAAAGCCCCTGGGGTCCTCCCAAGGTCTTGAAGCTTACCTTCTCAGCGTGGGGTGAGCTGGCCAGCAGGCAGAGCAAGGCACAGGACTAGTCCTGGCATCCCAGCTTCCAAGTGTGAACTAGCCTGGTCCCTCCCGGCAGCTGTGTGAGACTGCTCTTTCCGGCTCCTCCTCTGCTCTCCCACAGCCTGAAGCCAGGCCCTGGGCATCCCCCACACTAAAGGAAGATAATTACCAGGCAGAAGAGAACAAGTCGCCCCCTCTTCCTCCCACAAACTGGGGAAGGTCACCAGGAAAGGGGGAAGGTCCAGCTTCTACTGAGCAGGAAGAGAGAACTCGGTGGGCAGCGAGGGGCTGGAGGGGGCAGCCAGTAATGTGCTGTGTGTGGGGACCGACAGTGTGTGTAAGCTCCCATCAGGGACAGCACAGTGGGCAGGACATAGAGGGCCCTGGGGGGAGGGGCCACTGTGGGACAGGTGTCCATCCCTCCGGCCCTGAACTTGGGAGAAGGAAGGGACTCTCCTTCGGCTTGAAATCATCCTGCACTGAGTCTGGCAGCAGGCATAGATAGAGCTGGGCTATTTCCTGGCACTCCAGGAAGGCCACATGGTTCCCCTGTGCGGAGCTGGCATGGACCATTGGTCCTCTCCACCAGTGGTGAGGGGTGTGGGAAAGTCCTGACACCTGCAGGCATTAAAAAGATAGCAGAGGGACAACTGGGTCAGGGAGGGGCACCTGGGAGAGCTGTCACAGAGGCACAGCCTGGGACGGGCTGGGGTGCCTCCCCAGCCTTCACGGCCTGGCTTAACTGCACCTCTCTATCTCACTCACCCTGTGTCCTTGGGTGTCTTCCGGACTCCTCCTTGGTGAGTGGTGAGCTCTGTCTCCCCCACACTCCCAAGGACAAGCCCGGACTTGCAGGGATGAGAAAGAATAGCTGCCTCGGTATTTGAGGGGGATGGAAGCACTCAGGGGAACAGCCACCTAGCATCCTGGGGCTTCTCCAGAGACAGGGAAGGACGGCTCAGGAGGGGAGTGTGAGAGGCAGAGTGTGCCAGGGCTTCTCCGACCTTTCCATACCCACCCAGAGCAGCCTGCCATGACACAGGGTGACAGCCTTTGCCCAGAGCTGCAGGGGACAAGGACTTCTGGGAATTGCAGGAGCACCAGGGGCAGTTGTGGCTCATGGCCCCTGGGATGGAAGGGATGAGAGAGAGAGCAGTGTTAAGGACAGGGAGGGAGGGAGGAAGAGAGGGAGGGAGAGAGGGAGGGAAGAAGGGAGGAAGGGAGGGGGAGAGAGAGGGAGGGAGGGAGGGAGAGGGAGAGGGAGAGAGAGAGAGAGAGAGACAGAGACAGAGACAGAGACAGACAGAGACAGAGACAGAGACAGAGACAGAGACAGAGACAGAGAGATCTGGCTGACAATAGGACCACAGGTGAGACTCAGGTGGGATAAGATCTTGCCCTCCTGTGGCCCCTCCCTGGACCTGCTGTGGCCCCTCCCTGGACCTGCTGTGGCTCCTCCCTCGACCTGCTGTGGCCCCGCCCTCGACCTGCTGTGGCCCCGCCCTCGACCTGCTGTGGCCCCGCCTTCGACCCGCTGTGGCCCCGCCCTCGACCCGCTGTGGCGCTCCCCAACTCTGCCTAGGATCTAGACACAGACACCATCGTGTACCCATTCCGAAGCGAGGGACTCTGCTCTTTCTGGGCTGCTGGGAGTAACTCCTAGAATCTCTCCCCTGCTAGAGTGGAACTTCCTGAAAAAGCTGAAGGCTGGCTGGAAAAGGGAAGGGGAGGAAGGGATGACCTAGACGGAACAAAGACTCAGCCCCGTGCCGCTTCCACCACCAGGTGGGGCTCCCTCGCTCCCAGCCCGAGTCGGTTTCCCTCGCTTCTCATGTCTGTGATTCCAAACACTGGGGCTGTGGGCCAAGCGCTTCTCAGGCCTCGCTCCGTCTTCCTGACAAGGGGTTATTGTCCTTATTATCCTTCCCCGGGAGGAAGAAAGCTGTTGCGGAGCCCGAGACGCGGGGAAGCCGGGAACTCGGCCAAGGTCACAGCACCACTAAGCACCAGCTTGCTCATTCGGCAGGTCCCTCTGACTTCCAACTCTGACTTTACATTCTCTAAAGCTGAAGGTACCAGAACCTAATCCCCAGTCAGAAAGGCAAGTCTGCGAGGTGAGAGAAGGGAGTTTGGTAGCAGGGTGCCCTCAGCCCCTGCTGAGGGAATGGGAAGGTTCCGCAGAGGAGGAGGAGTCCTCATCTTGAGGACCGTCCTGGCAGCGTGGATAAGGTAGGGGCTGCTCCAGAGACAGCAGGGAAAGGCAGATGCAGGACAAGAACATGTGTCTTGTCCCACCTGAGGCTTGTGGTGGAGACTCTGGCCACAAGCTTTCCTGTCCTGAGCAGAACAGGGAGAGGGAGTGGACAGGAAGGTGAGCAGACACCCAGAGACCTGGGAGGGAGAGACTGGGGGTCTTGCTTCATGCCCAGGTTGACCCTCACCCCACCAACTCCCTCTCCATCTCCCAGCTTCCTGGCTCCCTACCCAAGAGCTCAGCTTCCAACTTCTTGAACCCCACTGGGCCCCCATCTGTGAGGATCAAGAGGTGTGCTCACAGCCCCGTAGGCTAAAACTGTGAACTGGGGACACTGGGCAGACCTGTGGGGGAGGACTTCTCCTACTTCCTCCTCCCCACCCCTGTGGTATCCTCACTTCCTTTTCTTGATTGCAGTCAACAGCTGGCCCAGGGCGGGTGGTCCTCCATCCACTCCACTCCCAGCCCTGTGGGAAGGTCAAGGCAGAGCACAGGGGCCAGTCACTGGACCCAAGTGTGCAGGGATCCCCAGGCCCCTGCTCCTAGTACCTCATCCTGGCACCAGAGCCAGCCGCCTCCCGGCTGTACTGAGCTTCCTCCTCAGGAAAGCCCACCTATAGTCCTCGGAGGAGAACCCGCGGCCACAAGGCGGGAGCCGGAATCAGCCAGCCCTGGAGCGTCACCTTCTGACGTACTGCCAAGGACGAAGACAGGTGGCCCAAGCCTCCTGACCTCAAAGGGTCATCCCTGGTCCTGGCCTCCTCCCCACGGGCAGAAGGCGGCCAGCCCCTCCTCCCTCCCCCTCCAGGTACCACCCCTGTGCCTGTTCCGCTGCTCTTCTTTTTCGGTATCACCATTTGACAGTTGAATCAGGAGAAGTAGGAGGAAGAGAAAGGATGTGGAATGTGACTGCTGGGGCCCAGGAAGGGTGTTGGGAACCTTGCAGAGTCAAAGAACAGTCTTGCAAGCAAGCATGAACCACGAACCAGTCGGGCCTGCACGGGGTCTCCCCGAGCCAGGCGGGGGGGGGGGGGGGGGGGGGCTGTAGAGTCTTGAACTTGGGGGCCGCTTCCTCCCCCCGCCCCCAAGCATCCAAGTGGCCCAGTGGTGAAGAGGACGTGGGATGTGAGGGCCACAGCTATCTGTAAGTCTTCTGAGGAGATGGCAGGGTTCTGAGACACTCCCCGAGGGGCAGTCTGAGGGGCTCCTAGAGATTCTTCTCCGGTTTCGCTCTGCTACCTGTTCTCAAGCGACTAGCCTGTGCCTGCAGGCTGAGGGACTCAGGGCCTGGGCCTCTCCTTCCTGTTCAGAACAAGGCATCCTCCCTCCTCTTTCCCACACTGCACCTCTGTGGTACATCTACTCTGCTCTGGGCAGATAGGGCCCGAGCTTGGCCATGAATTGCCAGGCTTTGAAGCAGCAAGGGTTCACAGGGGCAGAAGCCGAGCTGTGGGAATAAGTCTCTAGCCAAGGGCTCAACCAGAGGAACGCCTGAGGGTCCCCTATGGCTATCTTCTCATCAAGGAGGTGGAGGGGGGGGGCTTGATAAAGACCCCAGAGGTACAGACCTGGCGTGATCAGGGAAGGCCTCGTCCCTTGCCCATTCCCAGGGCCTTTGCACCCAGCAAGGGTGGCATGGCACCGGCTGGCAGCCTGCTCTCAGAGGGTGCGGGGAGGATGCACCCGACCCCTGGTGGCAGCTGCAGCAGGCGCAGGAGGGCAGCTTGCAGCTGGGTGTGCTGCGTGGGTGGAAGCCAGGAGGGGCGGAGGGAGGAAGCTGGCTTCCTGGAGCCTCTCAGTCCTCAAAGATAGACGGACTGACAGACAGCTGGCAAAAAGGCAGCCTGGGGGAAACACAGCTGCTTCAGTAAGTACATGAAGTGGGCACAGGCATACTACGGCCCTGGGGTGGGGAAGCCCTGGAAGCAGGGGGGCGTCTCTGAGGATGGGGTGAAGAGGCACGAGTTTGGGGCTACCATGCCTGGCCAGGCATGAGTAGTGGCACATTTGGTGTCCCTGTGGCTGGAGGGCAAAGGAGCCACACGGAATGCCAGGAGCCCAGAGGCAAAAGGCCCCTTTCTGTCGTGGGAGAGTGCTATCCCAGCCACACCTGCACGGGCCCACACTGTTCCAAGCCTCTGTCCCTGGAGGTTAGCAGCCCTAACCCTACCACCATGGCACCTGTGACTTCGCTCTGGGAGATGGGGACTGCCCCCAAAGGAGATGCCCTCGTCACCTCTCTGCCCCTTCTCTCTCGTACCCCCAACTGCAGTCTCACCATGCGCTGGAGCTCTAGGGCTTGGCGAGGCCATTTCCTGTGACGGTTACAGAGGCGGGAGACTGGGGGATGGGAAGGAAGAGGAAGGAAACACCCCTAGCCTACCGCCCTGGATAGAGACCCCCAGAAGCCACAAGTGATCTTGGAGGGGAGCTACCAGCAACTAGGAGACGACCCTACCAGAGTGTGGCCTGCCTGGGTCCCCAGCTGGCTCCAACGCTACTAGAGGCCTCAGTTTCTCATTCTGGAGAAGACTGTGGACGACTTAAAAAGTTCTGAGCTTTCTCTCTTCCTTCCTTGCGATCGGCAGTCTGTTGTTCTCGTTTGGACCCAAGCTTAGAGCCCTGCGGACTTGGGTACCCTCTCTCTTCCTCCTTCCGGATTATTTCCTGACTTCACCCATACCTACACTCTGTATCTCCTTCCTCCTCTAACCTCAGACTGTCCTCTGTCCTGCATCCCAACAAAGAGCTCCTGTACTTACAGGATTTAAAAAGTTAGGCCCCTTCCTTGGGAAGAGAAGATACCTCCAGTAAAAACCAAGAGGATGGCTGCCCTGGGCTTAGGAGCCTCCTTCTAGCCAGTAAGGCAGGTCAGAGGTCAGCAAATACAGGACCTTGTCTTTCAGGCAGGCCTCATGGCTGAGTGAGCCTTCCTTGAGCACAGCAATCTACCCCAGCATGGTCCAGGCCTGTGAGGGGCGCTCCAGAGCACAGCCACCGACCTTGTCTTTGGGGGCAGCCATGACCCAGCCTCCCCCCACCAAGGCTCCAGCCAAGAAGCATGTGCGGCTGCAGGAGAGGTGAGAGCTTTCACAGAGAGGATCTTCCTAGACCTGGGTTGCTTTCATTTCCTCCCTCTCTCCTACCCAGCTGTCCAGTTCTAACAACAGAGTCCACACAGCCTGGAAAGAGAATTAATAATGCTCATTTGCATGCTGCTTGCCCATCCTTTGTTATGTCTGAGGCACCGAGTTTCATGTCATCCCTGGGCCTGCTCCCAAAGTCTCCAGCTGGGATGAGCAATCTCTGAGACAAGTCCAGGAGTCTTCACGGCACTGAGTGTACATCGGAGCCTCTGTGACAGCTTAGGAGTAGGAGAGGTGGGCCACAGGAAGGCGCAGAAGAGTCTCAGCCTACTCCACTCTATCTGATCAAAGGAAAGGGGAACGTAGTAAGGGCCTGACCCCTGAGTGCCCCGAGCCTCTAGGTCAGGAGAAAGACCAACTGTGGCCTCCTCAGACAAGTCGTTAGAAGGAGAGCAGGCACTATGGGATGTTCACTGGGCACTGGATGGCTATGCTTGCAGAAGGGGCTCCAGCGTGGCTCTGATGCTGGATGTTCGGTCTTTGGGGGCTGTGGAACCCATCTGCTCGGTGAATACACCCCGGGAGGTCACCATACACTTTCTGCGCACAGCCGGACACCCCCTTACACGCTGGGGTCTACAGCACCAGCCACCCAGCCCCAAGCAGCTAGAGGAGGAATTCTTGGTAAGAAGTTGGGGTCCCTTCCACATCACCTTGCCCTTCCATACCAGACCGTCATGGATTCCTTGGGTCTCTCTTCTCCTTGCGGTCCTTGGGGGAGATCTCCAAGGCTTAGGAGAGAAGGTTGTCCCTATGTGTGCAGAGGATGGAAGGGGAGAAAAGGAGGCCGGGGCCAGATGTTAACACACTTACTCCCCCCACCAGAAGATCCCCTCAAACTTTGTCAGCCCTGAAGACCTGGATATCCCTGGCCATGCTTCCAAGGACCGATACAAGACCATCTTGCCAAGTAAGGGCCACAGTGGGCATGAAGGGGGCAGTGTCCTTGGGGGTGAAGAACCTAAGAAGGCGAGATATATACCTCGAAGCCAGGCACAGTGGTGCACGCCTGTAATAATCCGAGCACTTGGAGGTGTGAGTAGAGGATCAGGAATTCAAGGACAGTCTCCACTACCTAGCAAGTTCTAGGCTAGCTTGGTTTATATGAGACCTTGACAAAAATAAATAAAATAGAAATTAAAAAAACAAACAAAAAAACCCTCACGTCAGCCAAGGAGGAAGCACAATGCTTGAGACATCGTATTTCAACAGAGAAAGACTACCACCACCCTGGCAGCTAGGAGAGAGATAGCAATTACAAGATAACATTTGCAGAAGTTTACTGTGGGCCTCTGTGGTAGGGGTGAGCTCACACAGACAGACCCAGGCCTTGAACCTCCCTCTTTTCAGAGGCAGGCTTGAGTCCTGGGGCCTACTACAGTGGCTTCCAGAACCGTGGTCTAATTCAGCCGAGCACATGGGTCCTGCCCTGGGCTGAGTCTCCGAGCTCGCTGCCTGCTCTATTCAGAGCAAGGCTCTGTGAACAGCCATCCAAGTGAGTTTGTTAGCCTTTGGCCTTGGCCTAATTCTAGCAAGTCCTACAACCACCAAAGAGGGGAAGCCACCTCCTTCATCCCTCTTCCGGTTTGATTGGGAAAAGACCCACACCTTTGGAGAGAGAGGCCCATATTCCTCACGGTCCAGTGATAGCTTAGACAATGTATTCTTCTGAAGCTTATATTCATAATCAGAAAAAAAAATTTTTTTCTCTGCAGAATCTCTTTCTATTCCTATCAGTTGCCTCCCATTTTATACCCTCGCTGATCTCAAGGCTAAAATATGACAATATCCCAATCGGTCTCTGCAGCTCTGTGGTCTGCCCTATACAGCATCATTCAGTTAATAGTTCTGCTTTGATTATATCACTTTTCGGCTCAAAAAACATGTGGATCCCTATTGTCGTGGAATTATTGGGTTTGTTTGTTTGTTTGTTTTTTGTTTTTCGAGACAGGGTTTCTCTGTGTAGCTTTGGAGCCTGTCCTGGATCTCGCTCTGTAGACCAGGCTGGCCTCAAACTCACAGAGATCCGCCTGCCTCTGCCTCCCGAGTGCTGGGATTAAAAGCGTGCGCCACTACCACCCATCCGAAATATTGTATTTTATAATGCATAGGTATTATGCTACCTGTCTATAAAACAATTCAACTGAATGCCCATTGTCCACAAAGTATGGTGAACGGTGTAAGGACGCTCTTCCCTCTGACTCTATTAGAATCTGCGTTTGTTGGTCCGCTCTGACCTTTGACCTTCACTGATCTTACTTCCTAGATCCCCAGAGTCGTGTCTGTCTTGGCCGGGCCCAGAGCCAGGAAGATGGTGACTACATCAATGCCAACTACATCCGAGTGAGTGTCTGGCTGCTGCAGCAGTCCAGCTGTGACTTGGCCTCAGGGGCCTGTATTTCCCTCCTTGTCCCTTCCTGTCATAGCTCTCTCTGTCAGACGCGGGGGGGGGGGGGGGGGGGGGGGTGACAACACACCGAACGACCCCCAAATCAACCTAGAAAAGATGTTAAAATCTCCTAACCGACGCTGTTACCCTATCCATGACAACTCTCTCTATGCGGCAATAGGTTGACATAGCTGAGCCTCGTCACTGGTTTCTTAAAGGCTAGTTGGCTCCTAAAAGCTGCACAAAGCCAGCACAAGTGGGGATCTATCATCTCCTCTCCCACACTCATCCGCGCCCCCTCCCCCGACCCCCTACCCTGTACCAAGTAGCCCCTCCTTTGTAGAGACTGATGGATGTCCAGCTAATAGCACCCTCAAGGCAAGAAGGGCCGTCTAGCCCAATTTCTCACCTGGTGTGGTAGGTGGATGGGAAAGCAGTGCCCCCTTGTGTCCAAATGTGGTAGGACAGTAGTCTGGGGTGCTGGGAGGCAAAGTTGTCGGGCAGAAAGCGTAGCAGATAGGTGGTCCTCCGCTTGCTTGGCAGCAGGAACCAGGCAAACAGCGGGCTGCATGGAGGATGGAAGGGACGGTGGGAGCTAAGGAGGATGGAAGGGGTTGAACAGATTAGGAAGAGTATGCTGGATTTGGGTGCCAAATGTATAAAAGTGATTCATGAAATGTGAAACGTTCTTACAAATATTGAAGACTATGAGATCTTGCACTAGAAGAAAGCAGAAGAAGACAGAAATAAACATGTACATGGCGCCTGCCATCTGAGAGACTGCCAATATACTTTCTTGAGTTTAATTCACACTATGTTATGAGGTCATCTCTAGGCCCAGTCTATAGGTCGAGAAACTGAGTCTCACAGAGGCCAGGAATGTGCTTCTGGTCTCGTAACTGGGGAACAGCAGGCCAGGAATTTGAACTCAAGTGTTTCTCATCATGGAGCCCATGTCCTCCTTCAGCATGTGGCTTCTGGTGTGTGTGTGTGTGTGTGTGTGTGTGTGTGTGTCTGTGTCTGTCTGTCTGTCTGTGTCTCTGTGTGTATTTCTGTGTGTGTGTGTGTGTGTGTGTGTGTGTGTGTGTGTGTGTCTGTCTGTCTGTCTGTGTGTGTGTGCTTCTGTGTGTGTGTCTGTCTGTCTGTGTGTGTGTTTCTGTGTGTGTGTGTCTGTGTGTCTGTGTGTGAGCGTATCTAAGTGCTCATGTTCACTGGCTTTGAGTGTGAATCCACAGCCTCTCTCTCCTTCTGTGCTTTGCCTCCCCAGGGCTATGATGGGCAGGAGAAGGTCTACATTGCCACCCAGGGCCCCATGCCAAACACTGTGGCGGACTTCTGGGAGATGGTGTGGCAAGAAGAAGTGTGCCTCATTGTCATGCTCACCCAGCTCCGAGAGGGCAAGGAGGTAAGAGGCAGGGTCACCCAGAATGGGTTGTAGCCTCCCTTCGAACACCACTCATGCAGAGCAGACCAGAAGCCTCAATGGGAGCTCATAACTCTGATGGGGTCCCAGGTCATTTCCCCGGGGAAGATTCCTGAGATACACAGACCCCAGGGAAGCTGTTCACAGCCAAACTGTGGGTGGGGTGACACCATAGCACTTAAGCTTGGGAGAGCCAGACTCCAGGCACTGACCTGGCTCATGGGGTGAGATGGGAGAAGGGGACATTAGGCCTCTCTCTGCTGCCCCAGCCTTGCTCTACCAATGGACCTTCCCACTCTGACTCCCAGATCCCTCCCTTCTAGAAATGTGTACATTACTGGCCCACAGACGAGGAAACATATGGGCCCTTCCAGATCCGCATCCAGAGCATGAAAGAACACCCAGAGTACACTGTGAGGCAACTTACCATCCAGGTACCATCCCCTGAAACAGACCAATGGGAGGTCTGGGCCACACTAGCATCTCTGGAACTCAGGCTCCACCTTCACTAGGGACCAAGTTTACTAATTTAAGCCTTGATCCTAAGTGCCTAAGAGGTGCCATAGAAGAAAAAGAAATGGGTACAACCCTCAGGGGCACCTCTAATTTAATAGGGATGCATAAAAAAAATAGAGACCACCAGGGAGCATCCCCTCCCCACGCTACATATCCAGGCTCCAGGGGAGAGGGCAGACACAGGAGGATGCTGAAAGAGTCCGGGAGGTCAGAGATGTGCCAGCACATGTGGATGGACTGTAAAAATGCTTTCTGGGGCCAGAAAGATTGTTCAGTGGGTAAAGGTGCTTGCTGCCAAGCCTGATGATGTGAGTTTGATCCCTGGAACCTACATGGTGGGAGGAGAGAACTGACTGAAACAACATGGCAAGACTCCCATCTAGAGAGAAGGGAGGAAGGGAGGGAGGGAGGAGGAGGGAGGGAGAGGGAGAGGGAGGAAGGGAGGAAGGGCTTCCTGTTGCTGTACACATTCTTACACCTTCTAATTATTTTTGTATCAGTTCATTGTTTCCCGAGCATCCTGGGAAACAAACCAGAAAGATATCATTGTGCCCACTTACTAGAGAAGAAAATGAGATTAACTACGTACTTACCCATGGTTGTGTGATAGAGGCAGAGCCAAGACTGGGCCTGGGTCTCTCTCCCTCTCTCAAACCACGTCTCCTCCCTTGAATTTTGGAGTGGGTCATGGTAGAAGATGAATATCAAAGCCGTCATCGGGAGAATCAGCTTTGCCTGCTCTGAGCTGATGCCCAGTACTTACTTGCTGGCACTGGGAGGAGGCAGCACCCACACCCACATCCTGGTTCTCATCTTTTTTTTTTTTCTTTTTCTTTTTTTTTTTTTTTCCGGAGCTGAGGACCGAACCCAGGGCCTTGTGCTTGCTCGGCAAGCGCTCTACCACTGAGCTAAATCCCCAAGCCCGGTTCTCATGTCTTCTTCTCTCGTTTCCTCACACGCCAGCACCAAGAGGAATGCCGCTCAGTAAAGCACATCCTCTTCTCGGCCTGGCCAGACCACCAGACTCCAGAATCGGCAGGACCCTTGCTGCGCCTGATGGCTGAGGTGGAGAGCCCGGAGACCGCTGCTAACTCCGGGCCTATCGTGGTTCACTGCAGGTAGGGCCTCCCCAACCCCAGCCTAGAACCAACGCTTGCCTTCCCTGCCCACGAGGTCTCCAAGGAAAACCACACCAGACAGACCCAACTTTTACCTGCACAGCAATCTCTAGTCCGAGCGATTCGGTATTGTTATCTCTTTTCTACAGAGCCCTGGCTTGCGGGAGGTTTCTAGTCAGGTACAGAAGAGATACACACGGCCTCCGCTGCTGGGGGTTCATTTCCTCCTTGAACAATTTTTTTGTGTGCTTGGGGTCTTTTAGTGCTTTGGGTTTGTTTTTGATTTTGTTGGATTTGTTGTTGCTGTTTGGGCCCAGCTCCAAGCATTATTTTTAAATGGTAAATCTGGGGTGTTGGATTCAATTCCCAGTATCAACAAAAAATAAAACAGAATGGCAAATCTAAGTGTCTTAGCCAGTTCCACAAGGTCCCTTCATGAAGCCCTTACTAGCCTTCCAGATGGGTTCCCATCAGTGTCCCCAGGCTGACCCTCTGACCCTGCTCCTGGAAGTGTATCAGTTTTTCAGTTTATTCCCTGGGCATATAGTAGAGACAGGAGGATCGGGAGTTCAAAGCCAGTCTAAGCTACATAGGGAGTTCAAGGCTAGCCTGGGCTACGTGGTACCATGTTGAAAGGGGAGAGAAGGGGAGAAGGGGGAGGAAAAAGGAAGAGGTGAAAAGTACAAATGAGGCATGCCTGAACCCATGCAGGGGGGACGCACAGTGTAAGTGCTGGGAGTCACTGGTGATTTCTATTACTTACACCAGCGAGGTGTAATTTCTATTACACACGTGAGGCTTGCCTGGGGGGACGGGGGGGGGGGGGGGGGGGGCGGGCGGTGGTGTGAAGTCAAGAAAGGGATGTGAGGGAAGAGAGAAAGAAATCTGAAGGTGACAGAGTCAAGAAGAGGATAATGGACAAGAACGGAGGCCTGAGAGGATCCGTGGAAGCTGGTCTGGAGGTTGTGGTCGGACAAGGAATGCTCAAGGGGCCAGCCAGGACACAGGCAGGCACTGTCGGTTAGATGCCTTGGACATCAACACAGATGCAGTCATCAAACCATACACCGGAACAGGGCACGACGGTGAACCCAGGGCTGAGCATACTCAAGGCTGCAGTGGTGAGGCTGCTAGTTTGAGGTCCGTCTGGGCTACGTGGCTAGACCCTATTACTGAAAAGAAAAAAGAAAAGCTGGGGCCAGCAAGGTGCCTCGGTGGGTAAAGGCGGCTGCAGCCAAGCCTGGCAGCCGGGATTCCATCTCTGGAACCTACGTAGTCGAAGGAGAGACTGACTCATGAAGGTGGCCTTCTAACTTTCCTACAGGCACCATGGCACACGTGTACACACGCACACACTCACCACACACACACATTAAAATAAATTAAAAATGTTTAAAAAAAAAAAAACTAGGAAAAAGACAGACCCAGCCTTTAATCCCGGCACTTGGGAAGCAGAGGCAGGCAGATATCTGTGCGTTTGAGGCCAGCCTGGTCTACCCAGTGAGCCCCAAGCCAGCAAGGGCTACATAGAGACTCTGTCTCAAACAGACAACAACAGCAATAACAACCTGAAAAAAAGACTGGGTATGGTGGCACCCTTCTGGAACCCCAGGACTCAGGAGGATTGCAGAGAGATTGGGCTATAGTAAGTTTCAGGCTCTGGGGTTACAGAGTAAAACTCTATCTCAAAAAAAAAAAAAATCAAACTAAAATCTGGACGTGTGGATGCATACTTATAATCCCCATATTTAGGGGGTAGGAGTTCAAAGCCAGCCTGGACTACAAAGCAAGTTCAGGCTAGCAGGACCTATGAGCCTCTATCTATAATAATAATAATAATAATAATAATAATAATAATAATAATAATTTTTAAAGTTCATAGAGTCAGTTATAGTGGCTCACATCTTTAATCCCAGCACTTGGGAGGCAGAGGCAGATAGATCTTTGTGAGTTCAAAGCCAGCCTGGTCTATAGAGTGAATCCCAGAACAGCTAGAACTACATAGTGAGATTCTGTCTCAAAAAACTAAAAATAGGGGGCTGGAGAGATGGCTTAGAGGTTAGGAGCATTGGTAACACTTCCAGAGGTCCTGAGTTCAATTCCCAGCAACCACATGGTGGCTCACAACCATCTGTAATGGGATCTGGTGCCCTCTTCTGGCATGCAGACATACATGCAGACAGAACACTGTATATATAATAAATAAATTTACAAACAAAAATTAATTAATTAATTAAAGTCCATAGGAACCAGAAGGCAAAAGATGAGCTGCACTAGGCCTAGAGTGAGACTAATAAGGCTCAGGAACCTGTCCAGGACAAGCTATTATCTGTCTCCATCAGGGATGCCAGGGATGCTGAAGTTGGAGGTGTGAGAGTTCCACCCCATGAACAGAGCACTTCGGCCCCATTTCTTTTTTTGCTGATCGAAGTCCAGCCCCAGCCTTTCTTGCTCACCTGTCTCCCCTGTTCCCTGGTCTCCCATGTCCTCTCTCTGGTTACATCCAGTGCAGCCCCTGTTCCCTGGTCTCCTATGACCTCCTTGTCCTCTTTCTGGTCACATCCAGTACAGCCCCTGTTCCCTGGTCTCCTGTGACCTCCTTGTCCTCTCTCTGGTCACATCCAGTACAGCCCCTGTTCCCTGGTCTCCTGTGACCTCCATGTCCCCTCTCTGGTTACATCCAGTGCAGCCCCTGTTCCCTGGTCTCCTGTGACCTCCTTGTCCTTTTTCTGGTCACATCCAGTGCAGGGATCGGGCGGACAGGCTGCTTCATTGCCACCCGCATAGGCTGCCAGCAGCTGAAGGCCCGAGGGGAAGTGGACATTCTGGGCATCGTGTGCCAGCTGCGCCTGGACAGGTGGGTCCATGGGAAGCAGGTGCGGCCATGTTCATCGGCAACGGCATGGGTGGTTCTGAAGTCTTGGGCACATTACCTTCAGGCCCTCCTAGGAGAAAGCAAGGAGCTCATTTTATTTAAAAAAGCTTTCTATGTTGCCAGTAACTAAGCCCACATGAAAGATCATCTATGTTAGCTTGGGGGCCTGGAGTTAAACATGTCACCCTGAATTATCCCTCACCACCAAGGAGAGGTACGATACTGCATGCCTGTAATCCCAGCACTCAGGAAGCCAAGGCAGGTGAACGTGAATTCAAAGCCAGTGTGGGGCAGCTGAGTTAGCTCAAGGCCAATGTGGGCTACAGAGGGAGACTCTGTCTTGATTTATTTTTTTAAATATACAATTTGCTCTAGATACAAGGTAGCTATGGTACTACTCTCTGGGGTTGGAGGAAAAGAAGCAGACTCAGACTCTGGCCTGTGTGCTACTAGCTGTTACCATAATGATGTACCCTCTCCTGCCCCTCTTTTGAGTCGGAGTCTCTGTATAGTCCTGACTAGCCTGGAGCTCACTCTGTAGACTAGCCTGGCCTTGAATTCACAGAAATCCGCCTGCCTTGGCCTCCCAGGTGCTGGGATTAAAGGCGTGCACCACTGCACTCAGCACCCCCATTTTTTATCTAGAATGGTAAATGTCTATTTCCCCAACTGGAAGAAGGAATGGGTTTGCTTCTGTGAGTGTTCTAGAAATGAGACCTGCTGTACACTTGTGGAGTTAACTTTTTTATTTATTTAAACTTATTTATGTGTATTGGTGTGAAGGTGTCAGATCCCCTGGAACTGGACTTACAGACAGTTGTGAGCTGCCATGTGGGTGCTGGGAATTGAACCTGAGTCTTCTGGAAGAGCAGCCAGTGCTCTTAACCACTGGGCCATCTCTCCAGCCCCGGGTTAACTTCTTTTATTGACAAGTGGAAAACTTGAGCATGGGAACACATTCTTGACCCAACCTGAGAAATCGTGTCTGGTTTTGCTCAAGAGCTGGGTGCATAAGGGACAGAGAGTCCAGACGGGGCACTGCCCCCTGCACTTCCCTCCTTGGAGAGGAGAGAATCAGCTTTCCCAGCAGGACAGCGAGGGGGAATGCTTAACCACAGGCACGGGCCAGTGTCCTTGACTCTCTCACCCTGTGCTTCTGCTTACAGAGGAGGCATGATCCAGACTGCAGAGCAGTACCAATTCCTGCACCACACACTGGCCCTGTATGCAGCCCAGCTGCCCCAGGAGCCCAGCCCCTGACCCCCAGCCCTCCACCAGTCCAGGAGCCAACCTCCCCTCAGGGCTGGGACAGTGGATCTGGGGAAGTGGGCTGTGTGCTCTGAGACAGCTTCTTCATAAGCACAGCAATGAGAATGCTTACAGTCCCAGGAAAATGCTCCAGCCAGCAACAGGGGCCAGGCCACGGGTCTTCACCGCCGACTGTTCCTCTGCCTCCTCCAGTGGCCTCCAGAGGACTATGGGGGAGCTTTCCAGTGGCTCTGAACTTACAGATAGGAGCTGGTACTTGGAATGGATTGAGAAAAAAAGCTGAGGTGCTGGTCTTATCTCATATGCTCTCTGCGGCCTTCCTACCCTGTTGATGACACAGAGTCAGTCCTTCGCTGCCGTCATCGAAGCAGACAGAATGTTCCTGAAAGCCATTCCAGATGTAGCCACGCTGCTGGGTCTGCCGAGACAGTAAACTACAGGATTCTCTTCCATTAAGGCCTTGCCCGCAAACAGGCCAGATGCCGAGAGCAGGGAAAAGTCTGGTCTAACCTTGGCTAAATCCTCTACATCCTACATAGACTGCTCCTCCCTACACACCTGTGAGTGTCAGATGACACCCCCCCCCCAGAAGAGAACAAGGACCCTGACTGGCCACCACACGTGTCAGAAAAGGAGACGCAGAGGTAACCAAGTCTATCCATTGAGATCGCTGGAAGAGCCCAGGTGTGATGATGCACACCTGTCCTCCCAGGAGTCCTCGGGAGCATAAGCAGGAGTGTTGCTGCAAGTTTGAGGTTGGCGAGATCTACATTTTGAGTTCCAAACCAGCCAGAACTACATAGCAAGACCTTCTCTTAAATTAAAAAAAAAAAAAAGCCATCTTGAGCTCTCTGGAAGAGGTAATGTATAGGAACCATTCAGAGATCAGGAGGGCTGCTGCTGCCTCTATGACTTCCTGCCATCTGCTCCTCAGCCACGCTCCAGGGAAGCCCAGAACTCTCTGCTTTGCTTCTGTGACTTTAGAGCACACCCTAGGTACTCACGAAGTACCAAAGACAGAAACGAGAAGAAGAAATGAAGGGCTGTGTCTGCTTCTAGAAAACCTCCCCGCCATACCTTCCTGGGCCTGTGTTTATTTGCAGAGCACACCTGGATAGCTTAACTGGTTCCAGAAACAGGCTGGGCTATCACCACTGCACGCAAGCACAGGGCCAAGACCAAGCCTCAACCCTCATCCATCTCAACATCGGCACTATTTTCAGGGGACCCACAACCTATCTCAGGGTTGAACTATATACCCCAGAAAGCCAGACCAACTCTGGGCCGTCCTTGATCCAGTTTGGGCTGCCTGTGGGGATGAAGATGGGACACTATTCCTGGTGTCTGGTCCTCAGCTCCTGGAAGTGTTGTGGCTGGCATGAGTCCTCTGTGAAAACCTCTGTGTGTCGTGGTGAGTGACCACCCTTTTGCTTCATGGCATCTCTCTGAAGGACACGTAGTGCTGCTGGACACGGTGGCACAAGCCTGTGATCCCCACTTGGAAAGCGGAGGCAGGAGAATTCAGAGTTCCAAAGTAGCCTTGGCTACATGAGACCCTATCTAAAAAGCAAACAAAAAGAAACTCAAACAAACAAAAAAATAGCGCAGTGCTATCTATGGCTGAGGTTAACATTCTTAATGCTCCGCCTAACCTTTCCCTAGGCACTCCACTTTAGCCTTGGGGTGATGGGGCTTGCACTTCCACTTGCTTAAGCACCCTGAAAGGTCTGTGCCGCCCACAGTAGGTTCTGGAGTACCTGACGCTGTCATGAGCTCAGAGCCAGTCTGGAAGGGAGCAATTGCACAGCCCTCTGGGTACCCGCCCAGCACTGTCACCCCAACCCTGTTCTGGAGGGCACAGGCTCTGGAAAAACAACCAAGTAGAAATAAATAAATAAATAAATAAATAAATAAAAAGACTTCTTGGATGCCCAGTTAATTCTTTTTTTTTTTTTTTTTTCCCATCTTCTTAGGCCTCTAGGGCTCTCTCTAGCAATACAGTAAGGCTCCTGGGAGCAGGAGCAGGCTGCTGCATCTTTTACCCCTGGGATACACTCTTTTCCAGTATTTCTAAAGACATGTGACAAAATGAAACTACAGTCAATGTAGGAAGTGAGACACAGAGGTACCACCATTCAGGGTGCTGTAAAAAAAAAAAAAAAAAAAAAAAAAAAAAAAAAGCACCACACACTGAGTGACTTTTTTTTTTTTTTTTTTTTTTTTTTTGGTTTTTCGAGACAGGGTTTCTCTGTGTAGCTTTGCGCCTTTCCTGGAACTCACTCGGTAGTCCAGGCTGGCCTCGAACTCACAGAGATCCGCCTGGCTCTGCCTCCCGAGTGCTGGGATTAAAGGCGTGCGCCACCACCGCCCCGGCTCACTGAGTGACTTATAAACAACAGAAATGTGTTACTCGTGGCTTGAAAGATGGGAAAGCCACCGATCAAGGTACCAGTAGATTCAGAGTCTGGCTAGGACTCACTTTGGGGTTGATAGATGCAGCGTTCCCTTTGCAGCCTTGTGATGGGGGGAGTATGGGTCTGGTCGCTTGCCCTCTCCTTATATAAGGGTACTGATCTTATTTGGGAGGGCTCCACCTAGTCACCTCATAAGGCTGTCACTTTGAGGACTGGGATTTCAATATATGGATCTGGGGGAAAGACACAGAAATGTTGAGCAACAAAACCTATTACTTTGGATGATAACTTAAACTTTAATCTAAGAAATTCAGACTACAGCATGTGCCTTCAGAGCAATAGAAGAACTCACAAAGGGCAGATGTGCCTTATTAAGTAGGAACAGCCGGGCAGTGGTGGCACACGCCTTTAATCCCAGCACTCAGGAGGCAGAGCCAGGCGGATCTCTGTGAATCCGAGGCCAGCCTGGTCTACAGATCAAGATCCAGGACAGGCACCAAAACTACACAGAGAAACCCTGTCCTGAAAAAGACACCCCCCCAAAAAAAAGTAGGAACAATGGGTTAATCCAAGATGTTGGGAGTCATCTAACTCTTGGGTAGTTTGCTTCATACAGTTGATATTAACAATTCACCTATGGCTAGGACAACAGACCCATCAGAGTACACTTGAAAACCGAACCCAAAGGAGAGACTGGTGGGAACATGTAGAAGGAGCCCAGCTGCCCTGGGATCCTGGGACCAGGAAGGGATAGCCAGTTGACTGAACAGGCCCTGGGATTAGCTCCTGCAAGAGAGGGTGGGGACATCTTGGCAGGCTCTCCACCGCCCACTATCAGAAAACTTTGCTTTCTACCAACCAGTACACATTTTTCTTTTGCCACCGACGTTCCTCACTGGGAATCCCCTGTCCTGGTTTTGCCTCTGTCCATATGGTGACAATAATGATTAAGATCAGCATGAAATTCAAACATCTATCTCACTTTGGGCTTCTTACACAAGTGGCCTGGTAAACTGTGGTTAACAAAACAAGATGGAGTATTAAAGACTCTAAATCCGGCTGTTACTCTCCATGGCAATTCGGGGGATGGGACTCGGTACCCAGGGATGCTCAGAGGTACCCAGGGATGCGCAGAGGCGAAGGTTCAGGGAGCAAAACCGTACGTCCGTCTCCCTTTCTTGGCAATCTTCCGTGCCCCCGTTCCTCAGCCTGGAAATGTTCTAGCTCAAGACGGACGCTACCCGCCTCGGGCCGACCAACCCTTCAAGACAGAAAGCGGTGCAGTCAGGGCGGGGCAAACGAGGGCATCGGAGAAAATAAAATTACAGCTTTCTCCGCAAACGCCCCGCCACGCTCCTCCCGGCCGCCGCGGGTCCCCGCCGCCCCGCCCGCCCGCGGGCGCTGGCCCAGGCCGCGCGCAAGACTGGAGCGCGCTCGGGTGCGAGCAGGACGCTGCCCGGCCCGCGGGAGGGCGGCGGCGGCGGCGGCGGCGGCGGCGGCGGGGGAGGAGGAGGAGGAGGAGGCGCTGAGGCCACACCCATCGGCGAGCGGATCCGCGGGCAGCGCGTCGTCGGCCGCCGCGCTCCAGCCTCCGCCCGCACCGAGCCGCGGGACCCGGCCGCACCGGGGAGGGGCCGCTCCGGGCCGCAGCGCGAGGGCAGCGAGGGCGGCGGGGACCCGGCACCAGGCGCGGCCGGCGGCAGCGACCATGATCGCTTTGTTTAACAAGCTGCTGGACTGGTTCAAGGCCCTGTTCTGGAAGGAGGAAATGGAGCTCACGCTGGTGGGGCTGCAGTACTCGGGCAAGACCACCTTCGTCAACGTGATCGCGGTACGAGCGAGGGCCGATGTGTCAGCCCGCGCCGCGCCCTGGGCAGCCCGAGTCGCCACCTGGCGTGGCCGGGCACCGCCGTCACCCGGCAGGGAGGAGCCGGCTCCGGGCGCTTGGGGCCTAGCACGGTTCTTGGGGGACCAGCTGGCGTGCTACCCGTTCTCAGGCCTGGGCTGGGATGGCAGGGCTGGGGGCGGGGTAGCGGGGACGAGAGCTGGAGTTCCGGGGCTGGAGGCACCGAGAGGTCGCCAGGCACCGGGAACCCGCCGCAGGCTGACAGGCCCCCCGTGGATCGCGCACAGGGGGCATGACAGGGCGAAAGTGGCCGGGCCTTCCCGCTCGGCGCGTGGAGGGTCACGGGACGCGCGTCCCGGAGCGTGGTACCAGGGGGCCCGCCCAGCCCAGCCCAGCCCCACCCCGAGGGCTCTGTCTCCCCCTTGCTGGACGCGGAAGCCCCGGCTCATTTGGGCGGGGGAAGGTATCCCTAGAGGCTGAGGAGTCAGCTGAGGTCTTGACTCTAGCCCAGACTCCTCCCGCGAACCTGTCCCGGGGCTGCGGTATCGCCGGGGTCCAGGAAGGGTGGCACCATAAAGGGAGTTGGAAGACTCCGCTTGGCTCAGAAGTTGCAAGAGTAGGTACTGTGGACCCGAGAGGATGAGCTGGAGGGGCGCCATCCACCTGGAGATGGGGGAGAGAGCTGCTCTGAGGGCTTTGGGGAGTCAGGCCTGGGGGTGGGGTGACTGCAGTTGTATGTCTGTGCCAGAGGAATGGTGGAGAAGGAGTTAAATTTTCTCTTTAAAAAAGAGGAAGATGAGCTCCCTGGGTGTGTGAGCTGAGCTGCAGTAATGGCTGCAGCCTGTATTTCAAAGCTAGGCAGGACTGGGGACCTGGAAAGCTTGGGACAGGGGCATAGTTTTTCCCAAAACCTAGCCCCATTCCCAAAGATGGGGTTTTCAAGAGAACTGTGAATTAGCCAGACACAGGTAAAAAATGATGATGTGTAGGTCTGCAAAGGTGTGCGGCCAGCCAGCTTCGGTACTGCCGCTTGCCTGTATGGTATTGTTGCCCAACCTTGAAGCCCCACAGGGCTCAGCATCCTTGCTGGAGCGCCCTTTAGAGGGGGTATTAGTACATCGGGAAGCTAGAAGGCTGGATGGATTGGGGACTTAATGGATTGGGCATGGGCACTCGCTCTCTCTCCCCTAAACATGCTCTGCCATTGACCTCTATACCCTCCTCTACCCAGCGTCCCTTTTTATTCCACAGGACCTCTGCTGAGGTTGGGGGCATAATGTTTTTCTGAACTAACACAGGTCCTTGGCTTCCTGTCTGCCATGCTGTGTCCTTAGGATCAGAAACCCTGGTTAGTCTTGGTGTTGACTTGCCTCTTAGGCTATCAGCAGGAAATCAACACCTGGATTTCCACCTGTCTCTGCAGACCTAGGTGGCTTGGTTTGGGGCATTTCGGTCTGGGATATGTTTCTGGTATTTCTCAAAAGGAGAAACTAGCAGCATGGGCTCAGTCTAGCCATCACCTCCTGTCCCTAGGGAAGCTCTTCTCATGGGGTGCTAGTGAAGCCATGCTTCTGTATAGGGATACGCAGATACCTAGGTGAGTTCAACTTCTTGGCCTGGACCTGCCCTTCAAGGCCAGCATCTTCTCAGAGTATGGAAGGCTTTGACAGGTCAGGGATGGAAGTCAAATTCTCAAATTCTCCTGCCAGAGTCAAGAGGTTTTTGAAACTAAGCATGATGGAGCATGCCTGTAACCCCATCACTCTGGATGTTGAGACAGGATCCCAAGTTTGAGAGCAGCCTGGGCCATAGAGAGAGACTTAGTCTCAAAAACAAAAGGAAAGAAAGTTTCTATGATATCCAACATTCCTCCATTCCCTAGCTCCTATATTCTCCATTTTGATACAAAATTTGCCACTAAAAGAGAAGCTAAATTTCCCTTCTCTAAAGAGTCTCTAACTACCCCCTAGGGGGCTGCAGGGAATTCCAGCATCCGGGTAACCCCAGCCTTCTCAAGCCCACCGGAGCCCCCACAGGCATTCTGCCACTCCCTGTACAATCACAGGAAGACTCGGGAACCCCTGGGCTCTGTGCCCATGCCCACCACTGACTCTCTGAATTGCCTTTGCCTGTTCACTTGGCCTCTGTTTGTCTCAGCAAACAGAGAAAAACCCTTGTTTTTCTCTGGACTCTGAGATCTGGCTGCGACTAGGAATTGAGTTTAGGGAGCCCAGATGCTCAGCAGGTTAATGTGAACTAGAAAGAAAGTATAGAAAGAGCCGTGCGGTCGGTCTAAGAAACTGAAACTCTGCTGAGTGCTAAGAAAGCTGTGGTTCTAGAAAAGTGGGAGACAGGTTTCTTCCAAGAGAAGCAAGAAGGTCCTTCTGTCTCCTGGGAGACAGTCTGGCCTTGACCTCTCACCCCCCTTGCCTCATCTCCCTAGGTGTGTGTTGCTGTGCCCATCAAGGAGGTCATTTCACAAGTCTTAAGATAAGAAAGGCTGTCACCACAGAAGAACTGGTCTTGGAGTACCCAGAGGACTAAAGAACCAAGGGGAGAGGTCATAGGAAGATGCATTTTGGAGTTATAAAGAACTTTCTGAACTAAAAGAGGGAGTGAAAGCCTTCAGTCCTAGACATTCAGGGTCCGAGGCAGGAGG